ATAAGCAGCAACCAGGTGAAACTGGAGAGTGCCCTCCCCAGGGAGGGAGGTCAGGACTGGGACAGGCCCTGTTCCGTGTGGCCCAGCAGGTGCTGGCTTCCCAGGAAGTGCTGTCTTGCCAGGAGCAGGCCTGGGCAGAGAGTGAGGGGCATACGTGGGCACACACAGCCATACACAGAAGGAGCCCACAGCTGCAGTCCACAGCTCCGCACAAGACACTTGCTGAAAAATTGGTGCAACCAAGCGGGATAGCAGTGTTTATTGAGAGAAATGAATTCTGTCTCTTTCCAAGTCATTCTGTGCCGGGCTGGTGAGTTCAGAAATAGTTGGCAGTCATCGCATCACAGAATTCCATTGTGGGAAGGCGCCTTGGAGAGCAACCCCCTGACCCTTCCCTTGGTAGATGAGGAGAGTGCGGCCAGCCAGGTTAAGTGACTTGCCGACAGCCACACAGGGGCTTTTGGGGGCTCTGCTGCCATACCTCAGTGGCCCTTCTCCCCTCCCACCCCTTGCTCTCAGCCACAGGGCCTGCTCCAATGCATGCCGACACCGTCGTGCAGATCAGGGAACAATGCCCCCTCCTCAGAGGAGGCCCTGGGTGGGTGCAGGATAATTTTAGCCCCATTTGCCCTCCTAGCCTGAAGCCGCTGTGTAAAGCACAACTTCACAACCTACCGCGGCTCCCATGCTCTGACCATGCTTAAGTGTGTGTGGCCCACGGGCTGCCTGGTTTCTCTCCCAAGCAGGGCCTTTCCTCCCAGCTTTCTCTCCCACCAGCTTATCTGCAAGTCCAACTCACTCATCAGAGTGGCAACCTGCCCTCTCTCTTCCTCCAACCTAAGGATAGTGTCAGCCCCGTTATCCCTCGGCACCACCAAAGCCCTGTGGTCAGACTGCCTGGGAGTGAGAGCTGGATCTCAGAGACCATCAGGGAACAGATGGCAAACCGTAGCCCAGGGGCCAAATCCACCCTAGGCCTATTTTTGTAAACACGGTGTTATCAGAACACAGTCAGTCTCCATCATTGACATACTGTCCACGACTGCTTTCCAGCTACAATAGTCCAGTGGATAGCAGCCATCAAAATGGCATGGTCCACAAAGTCTGTAATGTTTATCAGCTGGCCCTTCACAGAAGGCTTGCCAGTGCCTAATCCAAAGCACCCTTCCTGGGGCTCAGAGAAGTTCGGTGACTTAATCTCACAAGCTGATGGATGGCCAAGCCAGAGTTTGAACCTGGGGTCCTGACGTTCTTTCCAGTAGACCCTGACTCTCTGCAGAAAGAAAATGGACTTGGACATGTCATCAGATGTGCAGCCTATTGCCAGCCTTTTTCTGTAGAAAAATTCCAAGGGAAAGATAGGTCTGCTCAGAAAGCATCGAGGTGACTCTACTCATTCCCAAAAGCTGATTTAGGGGGCCTGAGGTTCCCTCCCTGGAGGAAGTTCCTGAGAACCTGTGGTAGCTAAGCCTCTTGCTCTTGCCTTGGCCTCACAGGGACCCGCATCAGCCTGCCTGCTAACCTCCTGAAGGTGCTATCATTGCCCCAGCTCCCGGGGCCAATCGATGCTTCCCATCCCGGGTTCTGAGCTGGTGCACTCACTGCCATGTCATAACCTCTGTTTTCATGAGTGGAGAGAAGGTGGCCAATCCAGGGGACTCCAGAGAACATGACATCTGGATGTTCCGTAGCCATTGTCCCCAGCGACTGGCCGATCAAATCAGCAGTGACTTATAAATACCAGAAGGTCCCCTTTTTCTTCCTCTTCACCCCTCCTGTCTTTTCAACTCCTCTCGGCAAAACTTCCAAGAGCACAGGCTGGGTCCTGGGAGTGGTGCTGTTCTTTGTCTGCCACGGGTCATTCGTGGAAAGCGGCTCAGGGCACAGGAGGAGGAAGGGAGAGGCTCTGAGGTCGGAACCCAGCACAGCTCCTCCCACTGCCAAGAGTAGAGACGCTGCCCTGCCAGGCAGGTGCTGAGAACCCATGGAGGCCTGGGCCAGCATCCCCTGGGGTGAAGGGAAGAGCATGGCATACTGGATACGTGGGGTACCCGTTTAACTTCAGCAGTGCTTGTATGAGGCAGGGACTGCCATCCTCATTTACAGATGAGAAAACAAAAGCCCAGATTGGATGTGGTCACCCAGTTGGTCAATGAAAGATTTGGGATTCAAACCCAGGTCTGCCTCACCCCCAAATGCATCGTCTTTCCTCATCGCCACAGTGCCCCCAAGGCAAGAGCAATCCAGTCCCATGCACAGGTTCTTGGCCAGCCAGCCTCCTCCCAGAGAGGCCGCCTGCCAGTTAAAGCTGTTTCCTAACATGGGAATGACCTTTCCCAGGAAAATCAGGATGGCAAACACCAAGGTGGGATGCTCATCCCCAGCCCCTACTGCCCCACCAGAAAGGCCTGGGGCAGGGCCCGGTCTGGGGCAGCATCTTCTTCACCTTCTCTCCCTTCTGAGTCCTCACCACACCTGATTCAATGAACTAGTTTACAGAACGCCCTCACGTTTGCCCTGTAGGCCGCGGAGGGAGAGGCAAGCGAAGCACTGGAATCCCCCAGGTGGCAGCCACCGGCTAGCGCGAGGCAGGGCACATCGCGGCAGCTTAGTGAGGGCTGGCAGCCTGGCACGGCGAGTAAAGCACAGACCTGCAAGCCAGCCTGCCTGGATTTGCGTCTGAGTGCTGCATCCTCCCCTCTGTACCATCTTGGGCAAGATGGTAACTTCTCTGGGCCTCAGTCTGCTCTTCTGTAGAATGGCAGAACTGGCTGCACCCAAGTGGGGGGAAAGGATTTAATATTCATGCAACTCCGAACAGTGCCTGATACAGGGTGCGGGCTATGGAGGCATTAGTTAAGTCTTAAATACACATAGTTTAAAACAGCTACATTCGGTTTGGGTTTTCAGTAATGCTATGGAAACCCTTATAAAATGTTTGCTCCCTTATTCTGCTCTGAAAAGTACAGCACAAAAAATATAGAAATAACTCACTCTGAAAGCAAATGTGGCAAGTAATGTTCTGGTTAATTGACAGTCGGCACAGCCCTGATTTTGTAAAGAGCATCTTTGTGACAATTCCAATGCCCCCGTTTTAAGGTAGGGGGTGTACAATGGAGTGATGTGGTTGGGATTTTAGGAAACACATCAGAACCTAGAAATTCCAAGTAGCCACTTGGGTGGTCTGGGGTCCCATTACTCAGACAGAGGGCGCTGGGCAGGAAACCATCTCAGCATTGTCTGTCCATCTGTCTCTCTTCTCTCCCCTCTGAAGCTTGTTTGGAGCTTAGAAGGATCTTAATTATCATCTAATAAAACTTTGTAGCCCTAGCCAGTTTGGCTCAGTGGATAGAGCATCAACCTTTGGACTGAAGGGTCCCAGGTTCAATTCCGGTCAAAGGCATGTACCTTGATTGCAGGCTCCTCCCTGCTCCCCACCCAGGTCCTGGTCAGGGCTTGTGCAGGAGGCAACCAATCAATGTGTTTCTCTCACATCAATGTTTCTCTCTGTCTTTCCTTCTCTCTTCCACTCTCTCTAAAATTGATGGGAAAATATCCTCAGGTGAGGATTAGAAAAAAAAGAACTTCGTAGGTGAGCTAACCAAGGTTGAACAGGTGACTAAAAACCAGTCTCTCCACCACTTAAACCAACCAGTAAGAATGCTACCAAACTTATTTACCATTTTGGCTCCAAATGACTGGTTTACCCTAAGAAAAATTTAGTCTGTTAAAGACAAATATCTACCCGCACCGAGACTGAAGAATGGGCAACAGGCTATGAACACATTTACTTGGACTGTCACAGAGTCAGACCAGTTCATCTCCTTGGCATCCTGTCTCACTTGGAGGTAAGACCGAGTTCAAATTCACATCAGAGATTAGGAGAGGCTGGCAAAGAATTTCTCTAGCGTGCTTTGCCCTTATGTGAGTAAAGGAAAGTCAGTCTTATGCAGGCACCTGATGGTCAGTGGGACAGGTCTGGGAATTAGGGACAGGCAGGCGCACGTGCACACACGCACACATGCGCACATACACACGGCCCGTTAGCATGAAGTGAAGCCATTGCAGGTTGACCAGCAGACCCTGGGAGTTAACCACACTGGTCTCCGGGGTGGGCATCTCAGTGAGCAGGTGAGCCCTGAGCAGGAGCCAGGTAGCAGGCCAGAGGCAGTCGCCCTGGCAGGCCTGTAGTTCCCTGATATCACCACAGCCTGGAGGAGACAGCAGGGTCCAGCTATAGGGCCTGAGGATCAAGTCAGGGCTTATGTTTTGGAAGGACTCCGAAGAGCAGGGTTGGGCTGTCTTGGGAAACCCATGTTGCCAAGGTTACAAAGGCAAGGGTGGGAGTACAAGAAACCGAGAAAATTTGGAATGAGGCCAGCTGTGCAGCCCACCCCAGGGCAGCACAGGACCCGGGCATGGCTGGCTTGATGCCGAGTCCCCTGAGCTCCTGATCTGCCTCATTGGCTCCCCAGCCACGGCTGGCGGGTATGGGTGGGGACTCAGCTGGGTGCTCAGACAGGTCCAAGTGGGGCCTAGCTGCATTGAAAGGAGGGCAGCAGGGGCAGGGGCCAGGTGGGAAGCTGATGTTTTGGTTGAGCAAAATCATCCCAGGCTGGAAGCCTTCCCAGCGAGGGGAGAAACATCCCTATGTGGTCCCAACCTGCCAAGGTACTAGAGCCTGGAAAACGTAGGGAAGATCGCACAGCCTTGCAGAGAATGTGTGCCCCAGATCAGGAGTCCCCAGGGGGCTGGCGACAAAGCAAGTTCATTTCATAGACTTTGCTGACTCTGGGGTAAAGTCTCGGCTGGTCTACACTGCATGTGGTGACTCTCCCAGAAGAACTCTAAAACAGTCTCAGATCTATCTCTGTAGCCCCGACCAATCTCCTGATTTCTTTCCTGTTCCTCTCCCCTTATCTCCCCCAAGCCCAAGCTCGATGTCTGGGCTCACTAGTAAGCTAATTAACATTAAATAGTAACATTTTATTCTTCCCAGTTTTATTAACACATTTTGAGAGGATCACAGAGAACAGAAGTCATCTCAACCAAAGGAATGAATATTTAATGGTAAAAGTTTAGCTACGCGGTGCCTGGGAGATGTTTTAAGGCAGAGGAAAGCTGCCCAGAATCCACTCCTCCCTTCATCATGGCACCTCCACTTCTTCTTGGGAAACTTCCTCTCCCCCATCATGCAATCCAAGGGCTTATTTCCCATGAGGGATGCCAGATGTGACGTATCCTTGCACCCAAGAATGGCGGGACGTAGGTACATGGTCCCAGTGCACACAGCTGGATGGCGGTTGGTGCTCCTTCATCACGGAGGAGGCAGCGTGCTGACCCTATGATCTTGCCGTCCAGCCCTGCAGATGTTCTTTGGCGACTGTCCTAGGAACACTGATGCTGTGAGCCATTCCCCCCACCAAGCCTTGAAGTCAACCAGACTTTGCTGTTTGCAAACACATGGATCCCAAGTGGCCCCACAGAGTCAGGCCAGTGGTGATGGGGAAGAGGGCTCCTCAGCGCCCCTCCATGCAGGGGCTGGGATGCTGTACATCACAGTGACCACGACCGTGGACGTGGAGCATGAGTGGCCAGAAACAAGAGCCACTTGCAGGGCCCCGGATTGGGAGAATGGAAAACAGCAACCCATCTCCCAAAGGTGACAGGATGGGATCGTGTGCATCCCTGAAGGCCATGCTGACAGCGGGAACATCCCTCACTGGCAACCGTGCCTCCTCTCTCCTGCCATGTGCACTGGCACACACGTGAGCACCTGCAAGCCCACACACGCGTGTACACAGTCAGCTAGCAGGCATCCTTCTGGTCTCTCCGGGAGCATGGCAGGCCCATGTCTGGTAGAGGCTGGGTGGTAAGTAGAGAAAACAAGGAGCAGGGCTGAGCCACAGCGTCTTCCTTCCCTGGTGGGACCCAAGAAGCCAGGTCCCTGCCTCACAATCACACACCCTTAAGTAAACCAGGAGTCCCAGCGGGCGGACAAGCAGGGCCAACTACAGGGTCGCCCAGGCAGCCTTCAAACAAAAACATACCCTAAGTGTGACAAGTTGTCCCCTCACCTCCATCCTCACGGCCACTCCTTCCCTTCCAGGTTGGGACCGACTGCCAAAGGGCACTGGCATTCATTGGGAAGGGGAGGTGAGACAGACAGGTGAGTGGCCAGACAGACTCAGCACAGTGGGACCCCAGACCCACCAAGTATACAAGCATCTCCTAACGGAGCTTCATCACCCACACCGAGCACACGTGACAGATGGCCCCACCCAGGAGCCCCAGGTAAGCAGCCAAGGTGCGGCTGGGCCAGGAACCAAGCAGGGAGAAGGCACACGGGAGTGAGGACATTTATTGGAGCCTGGCCAGCGTGAATGCGATCAGGAGCCCCTCCCACAGCCCAGCGGCCCAACGGGCCGGGACACGGGGAGGCCATCTCCTCCGATTCCTTCATAGACAATGTTATAAAAAAAATAAACTTTACAATAATACATTTTGCTCATCTGTTGGGGTATTATTTCAATAGTTTTGTTTCTTAAAAAAACGGAAAGAAAGGGGAGACCACACAATATATGTATATGGATGTGTATATACATATATGTTGAGAAGGGCAACATGTTGTGTACATACAGTTGGCGTATGTCTCAGAAATGAGGAAAGATAAGGTGGAAGTGGGGAGAGAGCTGCGGAGACCAGAGCGTGGGGCGGTGGACGTCCACTGTGGTCTTCGCTGCCCCTCTCAGCAGCCCCCTCTCCAAAGAGAGCCACCGAAGAATCATTTCTTTTTTATTTCAAAATTCCTGCCACCAAGAGGAAGCAGCAGCCCCGAGCTGCGGCCAAGTGTTGCTCCCTCCTCCTGAGGGGGTGTCCCAGGTGGGCTGAGCCCCCAAGGCCCTGGAGCTGCCCAACCTGTGCCACAGTGGGGGGCCTCCGTGCACACCCCTCCACAGGCCAGAAGCAGACCTGCCCAGCCCAGAGGGAGGGCAAAATAAACTCCACTCTCAAAGCACGTGGAGGTGCGACTGGTGCCTAGTTGGACCCAGGGGCCAGCCCCAACTGCTCTGCCACCTGACGCCCCTTGCCAGCCCCAGCAAGTCCCCAGAGTGGGCAACTTGAGAAGAGCAGCGGCCACTGTCCTGCCTCAGACCACACCAGGCATGGCCACTGTCCCGTAGCCGCAGGGGTCTCGTCAGGGTCCAGAGAGGAAAACACCAGGAGAAGGTGTGGGGCATGTCTAGACCCTTGCGCCCTCCTCAGCACTGGGGTGCCCTTGCCAGGGGCCCCCCCAGGAGGCTCTCAGGCTACCCGCCTACTGTCTGTTTGGCTTAGAAAAACTCCAGAGAAGAAACCTGGGAACAGACAGGTTCAGAGACAAGGTGAGGGAAATTTTTTGCAAGGTGTGTGTGTGTGTGTGTGTGTGTGTGTGTGTGTCCATTCAGCAGGCGGGTGCTCTCGTCCACGTAGCTTTCGGAAACCTCCAGGCGCCGTGCCCAGAGCCTACAAGGCCAGCTTCAACATCAGGAAGGAGACAGTGGTCAAGGCGGCCGACGGGCTGGCTCGGCAGGGGCCTGAGTTGGGTCTGATCACCTTGTTACTCCCTGGGATGATGTTGGTGGTGAGCTGAGGCCACGGCAGAAGGGGACAGAAGCAAAGAGAACAGGAAAGACAAACAAACAAAGGAGTCAGCAGGGCTGGGAGCAGGCAAAGAAAAGGACTGACTCCCCATGCCGCTGCCTTCCCACCCATCCAGGGGGCTCCCCTTTGCCCACCCTCTTGGAGGCAGAGCCAGGCTTCCGGGGAGCTGGGCTGAGCCCCGACCTAGGGAAGGCAGTGCCATGGTGCCCAGGACAGCCTGGCTGACACTGCCCGGGGGGGAAGAAGGCCTGACGCAGGCCAGGGAGAAGGGGCCAGATAACGATCTCAAGGGGAAGAGGCTCCCGGGTCCCAGGACCTTCTTGAGGAGAGGAGAGAGCTGCTCTGTTCTTCCTATTCCTAAATGTGGCCGAATCCCTCCCCTCCATAGAGCACCCCCTGCATATCTCTGACTGCGCTCTCCTCCTGCTGTGGAAGCTTATGTGGCCTCTTCTCGGGTAAGTTATAGACAGACTATCATACAGTCAGATACCACCATGCACCGGGGCTCCTGTGAGGAAGGGGCTGTGTCCTCTCTGTCTCCTCAAGTTCACAGAACCAGCACGCGCATGTGCTCTGCACACCTGCCTTAACGAGTCAGGAAGGCTTGGCAGGGCCCTGCTCAGAGCAGGCAGTGTCTCTCCCAAGACAGCCAAGGCTCTGGCTGCAGCCTCTGCACCCGCCCCCAGCCCCCAACCCCCCCAGTCTGTGTGCCCATCAGGCCCAGGCGGGCCAGGAGCTCAGCTGGCCCTGCCCACAACAGGATCTGAGGTCCCTGAGTCTGAGGCTCACCTGGAAACAGCCTCCCGTGACCAGGCCCCTGCACCACCGCACTCTGCCCCACTCACCTCTGTGAAGCACATGCTCAGCTCTTTGGAGCTATTGGCCTTCAGCCCCTGCTCCTGTGGGAGAGAAGGCACCAGTGAGGACGGCTCACCACAGCTGAGCTTGTCCTGTTACTCGGATGAGGCCCACCTTCTGGGCCCTGCCATCTGCTGTGAGCGTCAGGAAGCACAGGGCACAGGGGAAAGCTCTGGCTCCATCCCACGCAGCACAAGACCCTGCCCCTTTCCGACATCTCAGCGACTAGGTCCCGGCTCCTGTCGGCTCCTGAAGAGAGAGTTCTAACTCCGCTCTCCAATGTCCAGCATAACAGAGTCAGAAGCCACTCACAGGTCTCTCCACCACACTCAGCTCTTCACGCCAGGCAGGGACCACGCCCTCCTCCCCTCACATTGCACAGTGTCTGGCCTATGACAGCAGCTCAGTAAACATCTCACCAGGTGCACGAATGGACAGATGAGTGAACACACGCATGCCACTGAGCAGAATCGGCATCTGAGAGTCAGCTCATTGAAGACCATGAGTCCTCATTTGGGTTCAAGGGGAAGAGAGAGACTGATTGATTAGTTATGTCTGCCCTGGTGCATGTTAGGAGGACAACTGGCAACAGTGCCAAGGGTTAGCCTTTCCACCTAAACCATGTATAGCCCCTGGGAGCTCTGTGGTCAAGGTAAGGAATGGAAAGAAAGCTGGCTTGGTGATGGTTCCGGGTTCTATGCCCCCGGATAACCGCCTGGATGCAGGACCAGAGGGTGTGCCGACGAACAGTCCTCTGTTATCATCATCATAACAGTGACCCCGGGAACCAGGTGGCGGATATGGTGTTTCCATCCTGACTTCAAATGGCTTGGTTCTCTAGGCACCTGTGGGGACTCTCTGGCCACGAGAAGCAACTGGGAAGCCCAAGAAATTATGCCTAAATCACTGCTCTTGGCCACAAGTATCAAAATCCCTTGGACATCACAGGCAATCTACCACCCAGGGCATCTGGTCAGCTAAACAAAGCCCAGCTACCACACAGAGGTCCGGCCAGGAGCAGTCACTGCCAATGGTGGAGATGTGACCAGGGTGACGATGCGTGCAGTGGGCGGGAAACCAGACCCAGGAGGATCCTGCTCAGGACCACAGCACCATGACCCAGGAGCCCAGATCCAGCCCAGCCAAGCCACCAACCTGCATCCCTGGGAAAGGGCGAGTGCTCTGGGGCCCTTCTGCCCCAAGGACTGGATTCTACTGCCTGGACCCAGTGCAGCTCCGGCCAGGGCTGTGGGAGGCCACTGCCAGGGTGGCCCGCATGCCCCACCTCAGAGACCACTGCCACCACTGCCTCCTGTCCGACTGTTCAACCTTCACCTTCACTTGGCTGCTTCCCTGAGCAACTCCAAGCCCCTGCTAGTTGCCCCCGTGACATCCTGGGGCCTGCTGGGCTCTGTGCCACCCGGCCCAGCACTGTGCCTCCTGCATCCTTTCCTGCCCTCACTGTCCAGGTGTGGCAGGTCTGCTTCCTCCGTGGGCCCTCACCACAGGGCTCACTGCATACAGAGCCTGTGTGGTCAAATGGCCAGGTCAGGTCCTCACCCCCAGCTCAACCCACAGCTCAGTTCTGTTTGATATACTGGAATTGTGCACAAAGTTGTTTTTAAAATAGTCAACTGCTTAAAAATAAGTAAGGCCTGAGACAATAACTCAATTCAATGACCTCTAGCCTGGCCATATAACTTTATCTGATGAGATGCCTGCTCTCAGGGAGCTCAGGGTCCTTGACACTGCTGGCCCTAAAGGCTGCACCCCAGCGAGCCCCAGAGAAGTTCCCAGGAGACAGAGACTGAGGAGACAAAGCCTGGTGTGGGCACCATGGAGTCACCCAGGGTAGGCACCATGTAACCACCTGGCGTGGGTACTGCAGCAGCCTGGCCTGTGCCTGGACTCCTCAGTTTCCAGTGAGAAGGGCTTGACAGGTCCTCTTAAGAGGGGAGGGCAGGCATGTTGTCAACTATGAGGGAGGGAGAAGGAGGGAGAGATAGAAGAGGGCAAATCAGAGAAAGGGAGAAGCAGAGAGAACAGGGGAAAGCAGCACCCAGAGGGCAGAGAAGAGGGGGAGAGAAGGAGCAGGGGGAGGAGAAGAAGGGGGAGGGGACAAAGGAAGAGGCAGAGGAGGGCATGGAGGGGAAGGAGAGGGAAGCGGCAGGAAACAGCAGGAAGGGGAGGGTCACAGAGGAGGAGGGGGGAACACAGGAGGAGAAGCAGCAGAGAGGGACCCCTTCACCCTCTCCTCTGACTCCCGTTACCATGAGGAAGCACAGACACCGCCAGGCCAGCCCCAGGGGATACAGTGCAGCTGTGGCCTCTGGCAGGGCCACAGGGACGTGGGGAGGAAAGGGCTGACCTCCAGGAAGAGCGGGGACAGGACAGTCTCGTGCCCCTTTAGAGCCCCACCTGAATGCGCCTTTCCCAGCATTCACGGGAAGTCCTCCTGCACAGGATGCGCAGTGCTGCAGACCCAGGCAGAGGCCATGGCGAGCTGAGTGCAGGTGACAGGCCCCCTGGCTGTCCCAAAGCTCTCCCCTCAGGTGCCATGAGCTAGTGCATGGATGCTTGTCCTGTTCGTTTGGACTGAAGGGTCCTAACCCTTGGGCCCCCCCCGGCCACAGGATCGACCCTGACCCAAGGAGGGAAGGAAGGGCCTGAGAGGCCAGAGCCCTAGGCTCCAGTCTACTTCAGCCAATGACCGGAGACAAGTCCCTTCATCTATTGGAGCCTCATGGTCCTCATCTATAAAATAGAGGCAGACGTGCCTCACTGACGCATGTGACTTCCAGAACACAGAGCAGACGGTGACGGCTGCGGTAACCTCTCCTAAAGCAAACCCAAGGCCCCTCACCCAGCCCAGCACCCAAAGCAGCACCCAGAGCAGCCCATCGTGGGCCTTCTCTGCAGATGCACGTGGGAGAAGCAGAGAGAAAGCAGTTCCATCAACTCATCTGAAAACCACCAGGGGACAAATTCCTGGCCACCCTCCTGACCATTAACCCTTCCTGGTGCTCCCTCCCACGTGGGCACCAAAGACAAATGTCGCAGCCCTACTCACACCCCAGTGAGAGAAATAAGCATCCATGCAGCCACCTCCACACCAGCTCAATAAGTAGGAGGGGAAGGAGGCTGCCTTGTCCCCTGACCCCCGGGCTACACTGTCCTCGGCGGCCACACACCCCAGGCTGCCCTGGACGCCCATCTTGCTGCTTAGACTCCAGTGGAAGAGTCTAGGCAACAGGTGGGCTGTTCCAGCCCCTGCCCCAGCCTACTCTGAGCCTCTCATCGCTTGGAGGCCAGCTCAGGGTCTATGACTGCAGCACCCAAAGGGCACAGGTGGCTGCTGGGACAGGGGGAGGCAGGGCTCCAACATGGAGGGGGGCACAGTGACTGGGAAGAACTTTCCACACTGTGGGTGCCACCAGAAGCATGAACGCTGACTGTGTGGGTGGCACTGGGGGACCTGAGCTGGGGAAGGGATGCAGACACGGAAAGAGGATGGCAGAAAGGCAAGGTTGCATTCTAGAAAATTCTCCCAGAGAAAGTTGGAAGGAAATTATCATCTTCCTCCTCTTCCTTGCCCACCTCTGTCTGCACTCCCAAGCTGGGTCCGGCAGTCCCATCAGAGCCTTGCTGGTCTGGCCCAGGCGCCAGGACCAAGTCCAGCGTCGGTTGGTCTATCTATGGAGTCAGCTAGCTCTCTCCTGTGTCTCTGCTTCTATTTCTGGCACCACGCCCAAATCTCAGTGCCCTTGGTCACTTCCCTGCTGCATACCCAACCCCAATAACTCACAGCTCCTCCCCACAGCTCAACCCCTCCCCTCTTACCTGACTATCGCCAAGATCTCCAGCAGGTCCCTCACTCACCCTTGCCAACCAATCTCCCCAGCTGTCAACTATCCTCCCAAATCACAGTTCTCATCTTCTCATCACGATACCCCCCGTTCAAAAGCCTTCAGGGCCTCTCCACACTCACCATTCAACCTGCTCATTGGTCTTCATCCCCGCCCACCCCCACTCCGCGTTCTCGCCCACGCCCACCGCCTGCTGTCCCTCCCTTTCCAGAGCAGGCAAACGCTTCTCTGCAGAAGGCCAGACAGCAGCGATTTCAGGCTCTGCCGGCCACGCACTCCACTCTGCTCTGCCTGTGCACAAGGGCGATGTGTAAACAAGGTGCGGTGTTGATCCAATAAAACATTTTATCCACGAAGGCAGCACCCCCTACTCAACCTCTCCGTGCTGTCCTGCCTCCCTGACTTGCTCCGCTGGCCGCTCTGCTGGGCGCCTCACCTACTCCGGTCCACTCCCGCGTCTCCACGTGGTCAATCTCCCTCTCTTCCGGGCCTAGTGGTGCTTTGACCACGAGGTGCTACTAGGCTGGATCCCACCACACGGCATCAGTCCTCTTGGTGCACCAGTCACTTCCTCCCCCGATCTTCTGAGCATGTCCATCCCACCCCTATGGGGACCTAGGTACTGGCCCAGTAAGCTTGTCAGCCTCGGTGCCTGGGATATAGTGACATGCAGAAGGATTTGTGTTGAATAAATGCATGAATGCAGAGGTGGATGAATAAATGAATGGCTGTGAGGGAGAGTTGGGGGAGGGAAGGAAAAAAGGAATGCATGCAAGTTTCCCAAAGCTTTGAAACAAGCCGTATTTATAAATCAGGAATTGTGCCTGATAGACATACCGACACATGACAGACCTCTCGGCCCCACTCTGACAGCCGAGGGCATGTGCACAAAGTGAGAGACCCACCAGGGAACAGGCAGGAGGAGGAGGGGCCCGAGGCAGGTGGCTGCTGGCTGCTGAGCCCAACTGAGTGGTGAGGGGGGTGTGGCAACCCCTCCAAACTCATTTCTAATTCCCCCAGATGTGACGGCTGTATCAAGGGTAAGAGCAGAAACTGGCCAGTGGAGACACAAAAGCAAAGGGGACTGTGTTGCTGGGGCCCCTTAGCACAAGGAAGGGTGAGCTGATGGGCTCACCAGTTGATCTGATGGTCTCTGCAAACTGGCCCAGAGCAACCGGGAGTGCCCAGGACCCTGGGAAGAAACCAGGGCCAGGGGAGGTGCCAACCCACTGCCAGCCTTCCCCATCCACACCGAAGCGCCCTGGTCCAGGGGGCCTTCTAACCGCCTTCCTGCATGCTCAACAGAAAGATGTCACCTCGCACATTCCCGACACACAGAGGGCTTCAGTGAGAGCGGGAAACAATAAACAGCTGCCTGCGACCAGTCAAACAGACTGTTTCCTACACCGGAAAGCAGGCAGTTCCAATAGAGCAATGAATTGGGGACTCGGGTTCTCTCCCTCCCTCTACATGGCGCTAGCCCGTGCCAAGCAGTTAACCAGGCTGCACTGAGGGCAAGATGTGGCCAGTCTCCCAGGGATGCTGGCCTGGGAGCAGCGAGCAGAGGCATGGCGAAGGGGCCAATATGAGGCAAAGCAGGAGCCCTACGTAAGTGGAAGGCAGCTCTGCCTGAGCGGCATCAGGGGACCAGAGGCGACATCCAGGCAGAGAGGGTGGGGGAGAGGGAAGGAGAAGCACTTTGCTCAGAGGGACTGGCGAGGCACAGCCAGCACCTTGCTTGCCCGGCCTTTAGCCTAACCCGTGGGACAACCTCCCTGGGCTTCAGAAACAAGGCCTTGGATGAGGGTACAAGATGGGCTATCTCCTACAGGTTCCCTGCTCTAGGGGACATTCACGCGTGCGTGTGTGTGTGTGTGTGTGTGTGTGGCAGGACCAGAAGGGAGAGGGGAGAGGCCATTCTGCTGATTAAATTCCACCATGCTTTCGCCAAGTTCCTGTTTGGGCAGGGCCACTGGTAAGGGTATAGCCAGGAGCAGAAATGAGGAGGCCGGGACTGGAGACGGAGCCAGGATGCCCAGACACAGACCATCTCAGGGCCTCTGGGCTCCGCTCTGGACATTCACATCTGCTCAGCAGGCCCATCATGAGGACCTGAGTTCCCCTAGTCCCACAGCAAACCCCCACTGTGGGAGAGTCCCGGGAAGGCAGCTATGGGGGAGCAGGCAGCACAGCACAGCCAGAAGGAAACCGCCCCGGAGACTGGGAAGCGGGGCTGGGGACAAGTTACTGTCCTCACTGGGCTTCCGCCCGTAAGAAGGAGATCTCAGAGTGCCATCTGGACCTAGCATCCACTCATTCAAATGGGGTCCCCGACTGGCTGCCATGTCTGGTCAATGAAGGGTCCCTAAGGCTTCTCCCGGGGCCCAGGTCTGTGGATGGGGAGGAGGATGGGGGCATCTGGGGTGCAGAGCCTCCCCCCTCCCTCTCACCCCAACCACAGCTTCCTGTCTCTGTTCTCACCCAGGGACTCCCTTCTGTAGCCATGGGTGGTTGTCTTTCCCAAGGACCCCACATTGACCACCATGGAGCCCTTCCAAGCCAGGAGCTGAGGGAGGGGGTACGAGCTAGGGAAGGGACAAAGCACCCACAGCCTCCGCGAGGTGCGGGCATGTATTCACCTGCACTCCCACCCAGTAGGTGCTCATTTAAAGGATTGTATTAAAATAGAACCAGGAGCTTCTCCCCTCAGCGTCAGTGAGAAGAAACCAGGGTGACGGTGGGTGGGCAGCCTCTGAGGCCCTGCTTCTCTCCCTTTCCTCCCAGGTGCTGTCCTCAACGGTCCTGCCCAGAGGGCCAGAATCAGCAGACCCCCGGAGTGCAGGGTCACGGGGCCAGGCCTTGGGGCCCCTGCCAGGCAGCCTCTGGAGCCCAGGGTCCAGGACTCATCACACCCACTATAGTGTTCCTCAGTTTACAGGCCCCGTCACATATATCACCTCTTATCTGGGTCAAATCAAGGGTAAGACAAGCCCCCAGATGGGGAGGCTGCAGAAAATCGGCTCGGGTGAGAAGAAACCAGGCCACGATTCAGCAAACCCTACAGCAGCGGTTCTCAACCTGTGGGTCGCGACCTCTTTGGCGGTCGAACGACCCTTTCACAGGGGTCGCCTAAGACCATCCTGCATATCAGATATTTACATTACGATTCATAACAGTAGCAACATTACAATTATGAAGTAGCAACGAAAATAATGTTATGGTTGGGTCACAACATGAGGAACTGTATTTAAAGGGCCAGAAGGTTACGAACCACTGCTCTACGGTGAAATGGGGAAAAGGTTGTAGTGGGGCAGGCGTCACGGCTTTGAACTTCCCACACCCATGGTCAACCACAGTAAGAGCTGCTTGCTGAGACAGCATCTCCGTGGGCGAGCCTGCCCAATGGGCTAGGGGTGGAAGCGTGGCACATGGAGGCGGATGGTGCCTGGAGGGACATGTGGGCCACCTCCGAGCATGGCCGCCTGACAGGTGGCACAGCCTTGATGCTGAGCTGCCCGCCACTGTAGCATGAAATTGAGCTGGCGACTGCCTGTGCAGCAGGCCCAGAGCCCCCGCCGGCCACCGCTCAAGTCCGCTCAGAGTAATTAGGAAGCGTCCAAGGGTGGCACGGCAGATCGGCCCAAATCAGGAGCGGGGCCTAATGGAGGGGAGCAGGCCCACGCTGAGCCTGGCATGAAGGCACGTGGAGGTCAGCTGTCACACACAGGGCAGCCCACTGGACAGGGAAGGGTGTGGGCTTCCCATCTAGGATGGCCCCAGCCCCGGCCCCTGGGGTGCAGTGGGAACCGGGGAACTTAATGCTCCACTAGGCCCAGTCCCTGCTCACAGCCTTCTCCTGGAACCATTTTTTGTCCCCAGCTTGACTGAGATTATAAATGACCACCAAAAATTGCATACAGGGTGGGACAAAAGTAGGTTTACAGTTGTTTGTATGGAAAATAATACAATAATTAATAGAGAACACAAAAGTAAACTGTTTTATGTACTCAGAACTGTAAACCTACTTTTGCCCCACCCTGTAAATTTAAGTTGTGCACCTGATGACATGATACAGGCTGTGAAATATTCACCACAAGCCAGTCAACATGTCCATCACTTCACACTTTTACCATTTTCCTGGTTTTTCTTGTGTGAGAACAATTAAGGTCTAAGGTCTATTCTCTTAGCAAATTTCAAGTGCACTATCTAATGCCGTTAGCGACAGTCCCACTGCTGTGCACCAGCTCTCCAGAACTCACCCATCTTCATGAATGAAACTCTGTAGTGAATGCCCACCCACTGCTCGTCCCACCAGCCCAGCCCATTCAGACTGGTGTCTCCCCTGCACACAGCCATGTCTGTTCCCCTTGCCTCCCACACCTGTGCTCAGGCTGTGCTCCCAACGCCCCCCACCATGGCTACACTTCACACCCCGCCCACCTTGGACATTCCAATCCCAACCCCTGCCTGAAACATTCCCTATGACACCCACCCACCACCTCACTGCTCCCTCCGTCCTCTGCTCCCCTGGAATTCTGCATTCGGTCCTACTTTGGACTCTTTGTTCCAGGTATGTGTGTCTGTGTGTGAGTGTGAGAGAAAGCAAGAGAGAGAGTGAGAGTATGTGTGTGAGTAGGCATGAGTGTATGGGCGAGTGTGTCAGTGAACGTACATGGTTTTGTGTGTGTGTGTGTGTGTGTGTGTGTGTGTGAGAGAGAGAGAGAGAGAGAGAGAGAGAGAAGGCATGAGTGTATGGGAGTGTGTGTCAGTGAGTGTACATGGTTTTGTGTGTGTGTGTGTGTGTGTGTGTGTGTGTGAGAGAGAGAGAGAGAGAGAGAGAGAAGGCATGAGTGTATGGGAGTGTGTGTCAGTGAGTGTACATGGTTTTGTGTGTGTGTGTGTGTGTGTTTGTGTGCGTGTGTGTGTGTGTGTGTGTGAGAGAGAGAGAGAGAGAGAGAGAGAGAGAGAGAGAAGGCATGAATGTATGTGAGTGCATGTCATTGAGTGTGTGTGGTTTTGTGTGTGTGTGTTTTGAGTAGAACCAACCTAATATGCAAAGAATCTACTGTAGCACAAGTGTGACATGATGGTAGGTCAGCAGAGAAAGAGAAGTTAAGCAGGGCGCTCTATAAGGACCTCCACAGTGCCACCTGTGTCCTGTCATGACCCTGACCGCAGTCCCTATCTAATGGTTGTTAGACTGTTTGACATTGGACAACACAATAAGGACCACAAATCAGGCTCGTGTCAAACTCATTCACCAGCATCTCCCTAGCATCTCACATAAGGACACACTCTGAGTGCATAACCCATGTTGGATGGATGAACAGATGACAGAGAGACAAAGAAATGATCATCATGGGTCTTGGACTCAGACGTAGGTGAAATCTAATGCCACCTGTAACTAGCTGTGAGAGCTGGGGCAGGTTGCCTGAGCCTTCTGGGTCAGGTCCTGTAAAATAAGAACCTCCTCTGTGTGTGGAAATTCAGTGAAGTCGGGAGAGCTGCTGGCACACGCTTGGGAAGGAGCAGAAGGCTGATACACAGTAACCACCCCATTTCCCCTGCAACCCCTGCGACCTGGTACAATCCTGTGGTTGAGCAGGAGCTGGCTACTTGCAAGGTGAATGTCTCATGAATGAATACATGGGCAACTAGCCCCACCAATTCCTCCCTGCCCTGGGTCCCTGATCTTTGGGGAGGAACCTGTGCATCCCAGTTGGCTAACTTCCCACACCCGCCTCTGACAGCAGGGTGCTTCTCCAGGCCCTCAGCCGCCCTGGCTCCATTCCCCACGCTCCTCACCTCGACAGATGTGCAGGTGGTGATGACGCTGGTCCCCAGGTTGGTGCTGTCACTGAGATCATCTGGCAAAGAAGGTGTTTTCTCCACCCGAGGAGCCTGGGTGGCTGGGAATGAGGGATTTTTGGGGGACAGGTTCACATCTGTGCCGTTGCCAAAGGCCTGGATGGCATTCCCTGTGGAGGGAGAGAGCAGGTAGAGGCAGAGAAATCAAGGGCACCTCCGTCACTTTGCCCCTCGCCATCTCTGCCACTATGTTCCCTGTCACAGCCCAGAGCTGAGGGCACGGTGCAGCTGGTCCAGACTCAACTGCGCTGAAGCTCCCCTTCAGATACGAGGTCTCCCATGTGGAGAAGAAAAGAGCAAGTGGGAGATTAGAAAGACAAGAGACCGGAATAGAAAGAAACATAGGTGATGAGGAGTGCAGAGGAGGGGAGGAGGGTGCTGGGAGCAAGCCTGGAAGCCTGAAGGGAGGAGCAGGCCACGCCCAGGGCAGCCAGCGCCCTATTCCCAGTGGCATTCGGTGCTGCAGACACGCCCACTTCAGAGCTCCGCCACCCCAGCCCCCCAGGTACTGGTTCCCCAGGCTCCTTTGCCACTTCAGTGTTTCTAGGTCCCCACCACTGGCATTCCAAGGGCCCCAGACTCACCTTCATCCCTGAGTGGCCTTACCGGCTCCCACACCATTAGTTAGCACTAACTCACTGAGGACTAAGTTAATGGAACCTCTTGGACAAAACTGTCCCCAAGACTTAACTCTCTAACCAAATGCCTAAAGAAATGCCCACCTCCATGTCCTCAAGCTCATCATGTCTACACCTGAACCAGGCACCACTCCCTTCCGCGTCCACACTGTTTTCCCGTGTTTCCAATCTGGAAGGCTTCATCTCTCCCTATCCAAACCCCCCAGTTCACCTCCCTAACCACCCACTTGCCGCCATTTGAGCCCGCCTCCTAAAGCCCTTTCCCCTCCACCCTCGCCGACCCTGCTCGGGTCCTCAGCCATCACTGTCCCTTCCTCTGAGTGGACCCTCTGTGGGTCACTAGTCAAAACCACATCCCTACCTCACCCCTCCACACTAGACCAGAGGGTGAACCTCTGAAATGCAGATCTGACCCGGAACCAGTGGCCCACACCACCACCCCAACACCAATGGGGACCACAGGATCCCCTTTGGGAGAGGGACTCCCCTCCTGCCCAGACAACTCCAGGCGACCCCATGCTCTGTACCAAGGCTCCGTGGTCTGTGGTTCTCACAACTCTCTCTGCCCAGGTGGACAGGCATGCCCTCCCTGCAGCTCCAGCTGACCAATGGCCCTGTCCCTCAGGTGTTCACCTTTGAGGAGCCTCCAGGGGCCCCCTACTGCAGGCTGAGCCGGGCATCCCACCCTGGGGTCCGGGTGAGCCCTGTGCAGACCTGTCCCCAACACGTTCCCCCCGGACTGTGACCACACAGACCTCAGTCAGGCTGCAAGCTGCCCATGACGGGCACTATGACTTGTTTCTCTGAGTTCCCAGGGCCATACAGAAAGGCAGCATGGACAGATGGACAGAAGGAAGAATGAGGGGAGGGAGGGGGAGGGACCTTCAGGTGGGTGTGGGTAGCAGAGGTGTCAGTCTGAAGAGATGGAGGCAGGCAGAGCTTGTGGCTCACCTTGTTCTCCAGCCTTTGGATTAGGAGTTTGATAACTTGGAAAAAAAAAGTCACTGATTCCAATGGATCCTTAAAAATCGATCCCAAAGGGAGAAGCGACAGACAGCCGAGGGCCTCACCATGGGGCTGTCCCAGAGGACCTGTCTGAAGCTGTCAGCATAGCAGACCAGAACCCTTCAGCCTGACTTGACACAGACTCATGGCCTCAGTGGTAAACAGCTCGGTGTGACTCGGAGAGCCCAGCCACCGTCTCCGCAGGTGACACCCTGCTGGAGCAGCCCCACAGGTCACTGGCTGTCCCGATGGAGGAGGAAGGCCATGGCTCAGGCAGCCTCAGGGCCCCTTTGGGATGAGGGTGGGAGGGGCTACTGGGGGGGTGAGGGGGGGCTGCAGGACTTACGAAGGCAGGGGTTCTCGGTGAAGTCCCTGAGGAACTTCTCACACTCCTCCTCCATGTTCCCACTCCCCCGACAGCTGCACCAGGGGGACACCACGATGCCAGTGGGGCTGGAGTCCACATAGTTGGGCGTCATGTCAAACCCTGGACAGGGAGAAAGGGAGGCAAAGGGGAGGGGAGCAGTGAGACCTCCTCTCTGGGCCCCCAGACCCCAGACACCAAGATAAGAGGCTTAGAAGCCTTCCTCCTTCCCACCTGCCCCCAAACACACATACATCCCAACTCATAGTCCAAACTCTGAGTGTTACTATTCCAGGGAACCATGGGGTCAGCAGGGGGCAGAGGGCGTGGGGATGCCCCCCCACCCCCCCACCCCCGAGCATGGCCCGTGCTTTCTCCTGGCCCCCAAGCAGAGTGTGTTCTGGAGTTCATGCGACTGGGCTTGGGTCCCAGTGCCAACAGGTGAACCTGTGCACGTTACTCCACTTCCCTAAGCCTCGGTTTCCCCATCTGCAGCACGGAGATCCCAGCACCTCCCTAGAAAGTGCTGTTAGGAGAATTCGTCATGTAAACTGCTTAGCACAGCACCTGCAATGTCAGACCCTGCAACCAATGTTACTTCTTCTGATTTCGAAATCCTTATAAGTTCCTCGGGCCCTCCTCCCCCATGAAACAGCCAACCTGGCCTCTGGTTTCCAGATCCAGCTGAAACCGCCACCAGGAAAGGCGAGTCAGGTGTCCCCCCACTGGCTGGAGCTGGGCCTCGGCCCCTGCCCGCTGGGCAGCTCGGAGTCACTGTGAGCCCGGGCGGGAGGGGGTGGCTTACCAATCATGCCCGCGTAGGAGCCCAGACACGCCTGATAATTGTCGGCTGGACAGCTGGTGAGCGTCTGGTAGGAGGCGTGACAATTGGCGTGGAAGTCCGCCAGCCGGGACCTGGTGTTGGGAGAAGACGCATAGAGTGAAAGAATTAGCGTGGCTGCCTTCCCTCCCGGCTCCTCTGCAGCACAGGGCTTCCTCCCCGCTTTCTGGGCTGGAGGGAGCCAGGGAGAGGGAGCAGAGGAACACAGGGCCACCGAGCCTGGGGCCCGAGGCTGAGAGCTCCTAGAGCAGTGTTCTCAACCTTCCTATTGCCGCGACCCTTTCATACAGTTCCTCATGGTGTGGTGACCCCCAATTTCATTGTTACAAATTGAACATAATTAAAGCATAGCGATTAATCACAAAAACAATATGTAATTATATATGTGTTTTCCGATGGTCTTAGGCGACCCCTGTGAAAGGGTTGTTCGATCTCCAAAGGGGTCACGACCCACAGGTTGAGAACTGCCGTCCTAGAGGGGCTCCTGGAGGCCACACAGTTGGGGCACATCCACTCCAGATGGATGGTTCAGTCAGAGCAACAGGGAACCCGCAAGGAGTGCACCAAACATGCCCGGGACCAAGGCAGGAAAGCTGGTGCCACCTCCTGCTTGGCCGCACTCCCAGTGACCTGCCAGGTCCCTCCACACGTCCCTCTTCCACCTGCAGAACGGGTATGTGAACCCTGCCCTAGTGGCCTCACAGGTGGTGGCGAGGTCCCAGGAGTGGCCCCAGGCAGGAACAAGAGTCCCCTGGGGTGAGATACCCAGAGGGCGTCCTCACCCATCTCTTCTTCACCAAACCAGAGCACAGCCTCCTGGCCTCAAGCCACCAGCTTCCAGGTCCCACCCAGTAGAATCGGCCTCTTCTCCTGCATCGCCCAGTCCTCTCTGTCAGCACCAGTGACACCACTTCTGAACTGTGCACACGGCCCTGTGCTCCCCTCGGCCCTGAGCCTCCTGGAGGCAGGTGCCTGACCGGGCCTGTCCCCCAGTGTGGAGGGTCCCATGGAGCCCAGGGCACCACAGCGATTCCCACTCCTTCTTCCTTCTAGCCCAGCGCCCTGACACAAGCCGTCACATCAGCCTGGCTGGGCCCGTCTCCCCACCCCTCCCCATCACTGCCTCCTAGAGGCCAGTGCCCTTTGCCCTGGGGTCCCCGAGTATCATTTGTCTCACAGCAACAGCAAGCCAGAGTAATAGGTCTTGTTCACTGCTATGTTCCCAATGACGGCACACAGTAGGACCTCAACAGATACGTGCTCAGTGGGAACACCACAGAAGGACCAGAAGCCAGACCTTGATTCCCTATCCCAGCTCTTTCCACATGGTGAGGTTGCTCATACAATCATCCCGAAGCTCACCCTAAATTCAGCCCCCCATGCTTTCCACCAGACTCTGTCCCATTTGAGGACGGAGGAGAGAAATAGACCGACAGACCAGGAGAGCCTGAGAGCACCACCCTCACAGAGGCGGCTTGTGGGTCCCACCACAGGACAAATTCAGGTTTGCCTGGGGCCCCAGGTTCCGGGGGGTGCGGGCTGGGAGAAGGAAGCTCTGCAGAGGCAGCGAGTGAGGGGGGTGGGGCCCGGGGTTCCCACGTCCGCTGTGCCCCTTGATCACAAGGACTTCAGGTGAGTCCTTGCTCCTTGGGGACTGAGTTTCCTTGTTTATCAAATGAATAAAACATGCTCTTAGTTCCTGGTTTAAAAGCTATTTCTAGAGTTTGAGAAAATGAAAACGCTCTGGAAATGAATGGCGGTGATGGTTGCACAACCATGCGAACGCACTTCGTGCCACATGCTGGACACTGAGAAATGGATACAATGGTAACTTCTATGTTATGTAGAATTTACCACAATTTAAAAAAAAGGTGTTCACAGCCACCCTTTATCACTGAACCTTCCCAAAGAATCTGAGATCTGGCAAGCAGGTGTATGATGGTTCCAGTTTACAGAGGAGGAAGCTGAAGCCCAAGGTCCCAAGTTGCTCAGTGAGCCGGGCCTGCATCCCAGAGTTCAACGGGGTGGGTGCCCAGCTGGCAGTCCCCTGCTCCTGTGCAGAAGCCTTCAACGTCCTTCCAGACCCAGCATCCTGCAGCGCTGGAAACATATCCTATCTTTCGCAGGAAAAGAATGGGACCCGAGGTTCTCTCCACCTCCCTCCTGCCCATAAATACGCCCTCTAGCTCCTCCCCACCCGGCCCCCAAGCAAGGAAAAGCAGCTTTTCCAACCCAGCCTCAGCCCCCACAGGACAGGACTTCACATCACATGGAAGACCAGCAGCTGTCCACCCCACAACCCAGCAAATGAGGCGGGAGCTATGAGGGGGTGAGAGAGGTTAGCTTTGGCCAAATGTCTCCTCCAGAGGCCTCAGCACTGAGGAGGACCACAGGTGAGCAGCATCGGGCAGAACCCAGCTCTGCAGGGATCACAAGCAGAGCCGGAGGCTCCCATCTCCTTCCCGCCAAGGAGGCACCCAAATGCCATCTCTTAGCCAAAACACAGGAGCCTGTCCAATGCCATTTGATCACAGGTAGGGCCCGGCTCCCTCCTGCTGCTTCCCCAGTGCCCCCCTGCCGTCCTGCCCCGTGAAGTCCTTTCTGACCGCCTCCACCTCTGTATTCCAGCTGCAGACAACATCTGAACCAGGCAAGCAAATACTTAATGGCATAGACATTTACTGCTGTTGCCCTGTTGGTCTCTCCAACTGGAACCCACGTTCCCAAGGGGCAGGCCCTACTGATTTCTTCATCCAAACACCTTGGGTCTGGATGCGGTGGTAGATATCTACCCATCCTTTCTCCGAACACGTGCTGAGCCCCTGCCACATGACTGAAAGACTGAGGGTGGGGAGGGCACGCATGTCCCTGCAATGTCAGAGAGGAATTCCAAGGGAGTGGGGACTGAGCAGAGTGCCCACCAGGCCAGGTCCCATGGGAGCAACTGCCCACTGAGCAGACCCGAGGGCCCCCCTGCAGGTGAGGAGCCGCCCACACAGCCTCCCCGTGAGGACGGGCGGGCAATCACACTGCCGCAGAGGATTACCAGGCCACGCTCTGCCCATCCCTTGCCCGTGATGCGGCCTGTGCTCAGTGTCCCCAGTTACCCAATGGGTGAGCCATGCCGGCCTCCCTCCCTCACAGGGGCCTGAGAGACGTGGGCACAGAGGAGAGGCATCAATCACCCTTATCTCCCCTCCACCCGGGCGCCTCATCCCAGCACTGTGCCTGCCACCGGCAAGTACACACCGGGAGCAGCTTTCCCTGCGTCTGATAAAAGAAAAAGACACCTGTTACCTGCCCAGGTGGATGTGGGTCCCATGCAAGGCAGTGTGACAGGGAGACAGTTCCCTCACCCCTCCCTCGCCTCCAGGCGCCAGGCGCCCCGCTGGACAACAGGTGAGCGATGTCCTCCTGCCCCCACATCACTTGCCCTGCCACACTGAGGACACAGGAGGAGGAGGCAGGCCCCCGAAGCCAGGCACCACGCACTGGGCCCCAGGGTAACCAATACGAAGGGCTGCCTTGCTCCCCTGAGGCCATGGCCTACTTCCTTCACGGCAGGCCACAGCTCTATCCAGAGCACAGGGAGGGGGAGCAGGCCCAAGACCAGCAGACTGTGAGAGAAAGGGGCGGGGGGGGGGGGAGCAAGCAGCCTTGGCAGGCGAGAGTGGCAAATGGGGCCATTTAGGAGCCTGTCCCGTCGAAGACTCCAGGACGCCTTTGATTGCTCAGGTCCCCTCCTCCCCGCAAGACACACTGACGTCCACGGCAGCCGGAGCACTCTGTCAACACGAGAGCACGTGGTGTCAATTTCCTTCAAGCCACGACACACTCGACTCCAACCACGACACACACCAGCTCTGGTAGGTGCAGTCCCCAAGGCGATGGTGTCCTTGCACATGCACAGAGAGCCAGCTGGGATCGCTGCACCATTGCCGGGCCAGGTGCTACTCCCCCTGCAGGCGCCCTCGGTCACCTGTCTGGTGGACTCTGCTCTCCCTGCCAAGACAGGCCTCCCTGGATCAGCCCCATCGCTTCTCAGATGTCTTCCTTTCGCAGCCCCCATAAGGGAGATGGCATCAAAGAAAGCAGGAGAGAGAGAAAGGCAAGCAGACCACGAAGCGAGAAAAGCAGAGAGCCAGCAAGAGGACCAATATGAACAGAAGCCAAGTCCATCTCGCCGAGATCAAGTGAAGACTGCCAAGTGAGCGCGGCAGCAGGTGGGTCTGTCCAAATCACAAACCCTCTGCGGGCTTGTTTCATGTGCAGCTGTAGCCCATTCAATCACAGGAAATCAGCGGAGAGACGGAGAGGGACACTTGACCCCCAATTTGATTAAACAATTGCCAGATTAAATGCAGGACACCCATCTGATTTGAATTTCAGATAAGCAACAATACACCTTTTCAGTGTGAGCATGTCCATGCCATATTTGGAGCATCCTTACATTAACCAGTATTCCATTGTCTATCTGGAATTCAAATGTAGCGAGGCACCCTGTATCTGATTTGTTAGACCCTGCAATCCTGTTTGCTGGGCAGATTTGCTCCTGCAAAGTCAAGATGAGAGAAGACCGACCCTCACAGCAGAAATCATGCCGAGGGGCTGCAGGGGTGCACGGACTTCCTACAGGTCAGCGATTCTCAAAGTGGGGTCCGAAGACCAAGGCGTCAGCTGGGAATTTGGTAGGAATGCACATTCCCGGGCCCCGCCCCAGACCTAGCAGATCTGACATCCAGAGCAGGGCCCAGCCACCTGTTCTTTGCCCAGCCCTCCAGGTGACCTGGAGGCAAGTGCTGCCGGGGACATGGCAGCTGCACAGGCTGCAGAGCTGGTCTCAGCTTTCCCTGCCCTGCTCCAGGCCCAGCCAATGAAGAAAGTGATGCTTCAGGCCATAGCTCCTGGTTACATGGCAAAGAGTTTGCATGCTTATACGCACACACACACCTGCACACACACACCTACACACACACACCCCTGTCCCCACACAGACACAGCTACACTTGGACACGCCTCTCAGTTCCGTGCTTTGGTCTTAGTCAAGAGAAAGTACAGGTGCCAGTTATCAATG